GGCAAAAATGCTCTCTCTTATAGGCCAAAGGACCATAGCTAGGCTAGAAATGTCTAAAAGATTTTTCTCTGGAGAATAGAAAAAATCAGTGTAGCATGTACCTTCAAAGCAAGAGCTGAGAAGAGACAGTAAATGGTCAGATGGAGAATAACGTCTGAACATGCATATGAAAGAGGGTAAGCTGAAGATGTCTCTCACTAACCCAACCTCTCTCTTATTCTTCCCCATTACAAAAGCCTTGGTGTCAGTAGGTGGAAAAGATTGACATTGCAGGGAAAACAGAACTGACTATGCCTTGTCTAGTCCAAGCTGAGAAGAGGAAAAGGTTTAAATTTATATTATATTAGACATGTTAATACTCCAAAATTTACCGTAACTTGGAAACAGTGGAATCTAATGATAAAGAAATATGACCAAATGATAAAATAAATCTCCCTCACAATTATTTCTTTAAAGTGCTTTTAATGTTATTAAATTCAATTAAATATTGAAGATATAAAAGTACCCAGTAAACAGTGATCCTCTAAATTCACTTCACATTAAAATTATCCAGGAAGTTCCACTGATACTTGTTTTATTCCATATTCAGATTTAACTGGCCTGGGGTGTAGCTTAAACAACAGGGTTTTTAAAGCTTACCAGGTGATTCTATTGTGCAGCTAAGCTCTAGATATAGTGTCTACCTCTCTCCCAAAATATCTTTTACTACTTTACCATCAAATAACAGAAATTATTGAAAAGATGGAATTTTCACAGAAAAGATCCATATTTTGATCTTTTTCTGGTCACTGTCATAGAGATTTGATTAGTTTATATTCATTTCATTAAAGGCATATGAATAAGTTCCAAGGATAGAATGTAGTATAAAATAAATGTTAAAAATATATAACAAAAGTGGAATTAGTCTTGTAAAATACTGGCTTGTAACATACATGATTCTTATATAAGAAATGTATCTTAAAGTGGTATTTTAAGTATATACTGCCATATAAGTTGGAAATAAGGTTAAAGAAGCATAGCTGAATGCCTTAAAAGTTTTTATTATAAGCATTCTTTCCCTGAGTGTCATATGTCATTATGAAGTAAATTCAACCAAACATTGAAGATTTAAAAGTACCTGAAAAATGACAAAACATATACTCCAAAATATGGTTTATTATATGTTTCCAGACTTTTTATTAAATCATTAATGGATTATTTCCCCTCCCTTCTTCCCTTTTCCACAGATGATTGCAATGTAATAATATTTTTGTTAGAAACTAAAAACATGAAGATGAGTAAGACATGGCCCTTACTCTGAAAGAGCATTTATTTAGTGGTAGAGTAGTAAAGATTCTAACATTTAAAAATTAGTTCACAAAGGACTATAAAAATAATACTTAGAATGAATAACGAGACAAATAGCCAAAGAAAATGTTCTGGAAGAGGTGAACTTTGGACCAAGTCTTAAACATAAGTAAGGTTAAAAATTCTTACACCTACAAAGCCAGTAATAGGTACAAAGACCAGAAGCAAGAGAAAACATGGCTGTGGAAAGTGATAATGACAACTGCTGTACACCCAATGACACAGAAAAAAAGTTGTTCATTCTTTTAGACATAGCAAAATGTTCCTTATATGGTAGAGGCATACCTCAGAGCATTAACTGGGCTTTCACGCTGCCTACTAGAACAAACGCTACTGAGGCATACTACTTACTTTATATACCACATTGGCAACAGAATTTTGGCCAGATCTCCATAAGAAACTAGGGAAACATGAGTGCTGTATTCATTTGGTTAGATGTTTACATTGTGTATGTCCTTGGTACTGCTTTGCTAGTTTAGTAGAAAGCCTAAGAGAAGGTAATTTTCAAAAAAATCTGAATTCAAGTCAGTCTTTGAATGCAAACTAACCTCTTTGGTCTGACCTAGCTTACTGGCACATTCTAGCAGGTTAAAATAAAGTATAGAAGGGCTAGAGCATATAGTGTAGTCTGGGGAGTGGTGGAATTGAAGAAGTACGCAGGGGAGACATCACAACAACACTTATTACCTTTGGTGAGTGAATCTTCATCTTGAACGAGGCAAGAAAGCCATAATTTTGAGGGATTCAGTATGACTGGATTTGCATTTTTTTAAAAATCGATAGCAGTACACAAAAGGATTCAGTAAGATGACTAGAAAGCTGGTGTAATCACACAGGTGAGAGATAATGACTGTGGCAGTTGATGTAAGGATACAGAACAGATGGCAGACACACCAAGTCCGTAGTATGGGAAGGAAAGGGAGGAAGGAAAGGAAGCTATTCAGAAACACTCCAGGGTTTCTGGCTGGGCAACTGCGTTAATAATGATTTCATCCTGTGAGATAACATCACACGGGAACAAATTTTGGAGGGAAGACAATGATGAATTAAATTTTATTTGACAGGCCATAGGATATATCCAAGAAGCAATTCTGTAGCCAAGTCTAGATATGCAATTAAAAGTAGAAAACTCAAAAAATGAAGTTACCTTGTGACTTGGAAATACCGAATACGAAAATGAAGATGATGGGAGGATTAAGGAAATACAATCTTAAAAGCATATGACTGAAGTAAAGTTGATGAGATGCAAACTAAAGCAATGTGTGATGGAAAATTTTAAGAATTAAAAGTGAAGAATATTAAAAACTTGTCACCAACAGCAAATTTATTTTCTACCAATCTTTCTCATAAGAGTATTCATGGGGAACAGCTGGAAAGGAATGTATTTTGAGCTATAAAGTCTGCTGGAAATTTTAATAATTTAATAAAATATAGAAGTGGGACATTCAAACCTTCTGAGATTCCAGTAAAACAAAAAGCCCTGTTCAAAATACAGAAGGGATATATTCACCTCAGCCATCTGGCACAAAGCATAGGGAACGCGAGGTAAACATTTCTTTCTCTGCAAGGAAGATGCATCTACAGAGAAGTATGACAAGTTTGGGTCAACACTGTTAACATGTAATCATTGTGGGTTCAAACTAAATGTCTTAATCCAGAAAAAGCTGTACTGGCAGATTTTTCTTTCAGAAAGCAATGACTTAGCATAGAACAATGCACTGCTTACAGCAGCTGCCTCATCTTTAAAAACCATACGTAAAATTTTAAAACACTGCCTATAATGGAAATATGCATGCCCTAGACCAGGTTTCCCATAAATACATCCAGTAAGCATACATGTCATGCTTCCTATTCTTTACTGTAGAATTCATTTAAAATTTATAAAGAAATCTACGATTTCACTGTATCCACTGTTTGTGCATATGAATTTATGTTAGGGCAGAGACTATATACTACACTTACACACATTTGCTTTTAGCTATTTAGCACACACATATAAACTCATAGATACACACATTTCAACACACAGGTAATTGAGCAAAGTGTTGGCCTTTCCTAACACTGAATTCACACGTAAATCAAGTTAGGTACATTGTAAGCGTAAGTTTAAAAAAACAAGTGAAAACAAATTTTGACATAAAAAATGATGTAACACATGTCACTGTCCTTTTCCACCTTCCAGTGTTTGAATCTATGAGTACTGTTTCTGTCATGTAAAAGTATAATCTTGAGTCTCCCCCCCAAAAATCTATCCACACAAGAACAGTTTTTAGCAATTCTCCAGAAGAGTGAGGTGGCTGAGGTTCCTAAATGTTTTTAGCTACTTGAACTACAATATATTGTTCCCAATTTTAAAATATAGGCTCCCATTTTTGTGTACACACACACACACACAAAAAAAGATTAAATCCTTGAGGGTGTGAGTCACTCTGCCATGGTGGGGCCCTGGCTCTGCCCACACTCTGTGGGTGCATTTGGTCTCTGAGTGCAGGGGATGTTATACCTAGCTGAACCTCATTTGTACCTGGCTTCAGTGGAGGATGGCATTTGGCCAAACCATACAGAACCCTGCTCAGATGATTGCAGGACCAGGAGGGCAGGTCCCTGTGGGCCATGGTCTGAGGGTATCATTCACCAGCCATCTCTCTTGAAAGGCCTATACCCAGAAGCTTTACCACTGGGAAACTTCTGACTTTGGCTTTCTGGTTGAATAGGGCCAGTTCCAATCCTGTGGGATACCTTGCCTTGTGCTGTGGAAACAGCTGGGTATGGACACACATTGGATATGCTGCTCCTTCTCTTTGAATCTGATTTCCAATATGCAATTTCTCCCTCTCACCCAAGGAAGGTCCAAAACACAGGTAACTAAAATGATTTATCTTTGTTTTGGAAGTAATTGTTCAAGATCCACAGCTGATGTCTGCAAATTTAGATATAATGTTTATAAAAAGTTGATGGTTAATGAAAACCAAATTTACACTGGCAAAAAAAGACAGGTTTGACTTTATGCCCAGAAACAGTAGTGCTACTTGTAGAAACACTGCCCCCTAATGTTAAGATAATCTCATTTGCTTTTCAAAGCACTGACAGTCACTATACTATTCTTTTTTAAAATAAATTTTATTTTATCCCATTTCCCCACAAGGCCCCTCCTCTCCCTATGTACAGAAGCTTTGTTTCCATTTTTTTCCTTCTATTTTCATTTTTTTCCTTGTCCCTTCCTTCCTCTATGCTATTAACAATTTAAAAGGACAAAGACGAAAGTTTTATTATATGGTCTATTAAATTTTAGTTTGATAATTAGTATTGCCATAGAAGTTGTGCCATGAACTCTCACTGGATTTACAAATTTAACTCCTTTTATTAGTAAAATGGCAACCAACATTACCTATGTGCAGTTAGCAGCAGTACTTAGAGTAAAAACAAAACAATAGACATCATCAATGTTTTACACCCTGTAAGTCCAACATATCTATGCACAAATTCTTGAGAGTTACAGGGATCTTTCAGGGACAATAAGATATGATTACTTAATAACCTAGTGTTCTGTTTCTCAGTTACTGAATCAATACTCACTCAGTAATACCTCTCACTCAGTAATAACAGTAAGAAGACAACTTTTCATGATATACTTTGGCACAGATAATCCAAAATCATATATAATAAATAATGATTTTATTTGGTTTTGGAATATTATAGTACATTAAATGATTGTCTACTACTCTGTAAAGTTACAACTTTAAACAAAATAATACACAGTGAATTAGAAACTCATCAAGCTTTCTCAATGTGTGAAATTATTCCTTAATCTTTTTTCAGGGGGAGAACCGAAGCTCGATCTCGGGACCCTGCGTTTGCAAAGCAGGCACCAGAACCACTGAGCTAAATCTCTGGCCCATTATTCCTTAATCTTTGTTGTTAGCACTAAACAAAACAATATTTTGCATGAGTCTGAAATTTCTGGGTTATTTGTGTTCAATTCCATCCCTGTATTGGAAGAAATGAGGTACTTTATTTAAATTTCACACTGGAGTATGAGATGCATAGCAGAATTAAACTAAACAAGGTATTAACCTGTGGCAAACTCACAATACATATTACAGTACTGAAACTTCTGGCTTAGTAACTGTCACTTTTCACTACATTAAACATCTTGAGGTCTATAAATGTATGTTTTTAACCTATGTCAGTACCTCAACAAAATTTTAAATGATGTATGAATCAATGATACTAATATAAAGTTGAAGATAAAAATAAAATTTAGGTAGCCTTAACTGTAAAATCTGAGAGATTTAAATCACAAAATATGTGTTCTAATCTTATCACAAATTATGTGATTCTGAACTTCACCTCTATGACACTCAGTTTCTCATGTGAATAAAAGGGGTAACATCTAACCTATGTATTTCATAGTGGCTATAAAGGTAAATGAGGCAATACATATTTAAATCCTTTGTAAATGCCAGAAAATAATATTTGCTGTTATTATAGCATATATATATAGGAAATATAGGCACAACATAAAAATATTTTCAAGATGCAACAACTTACATTAAAAATATACCTTTTCCCAAGTTAAATATAGCTTAACACTTCTCTCTTTAGCCTATAAATATACTTAAAACTATCCATACAAAAAAGATTAAATCCCTTTATTTCCTCTTCTCAAGTAAAAGTTGTCAGGTAAGAGTCAATATATGTGTATCTTCTTCCTCAATGTTCTGAAACCTGGTTCAGCTGCACTAGCTACAGACAGTTTTATAAGTCAATTCACTGGTTTCTTCTCAATTCTTCTTTATTTTATCCTTGAAGATTTCTTTGAGTACCTCCCACAGCTATTCTAGATTCTTCAAAATGACAATGCCCTTTTGTTTTTTATTTCTTTATTTTTTTCTTCACTGCTTCAGCTTCTTGCTTTTCCAATGCAGGTGTTATATGAGGCTGCATCCTTGGGACTCCTTATGGCCCAAGGACCCTAATTTTTGCCTAGATGACCCAACATGATCCAATAGACTCAGGCATCATTTCTACTTAGCTGACTTCCAAATCTATGTCTTTTTCCCAGCCTCCCTCTTAAATTCCAGATCTATATTTCTAATTGTTGACCAACAATTTTCATCCACATGCACTTTATTCTGTGATAGGGTGAAACTCATTATCCTTTTCCTGTATCTGAAAGCCTTTGCTCCCTTTGTTGGTACTCTAGGTAGTTACCTAAGCAGAAATTTTGGAATCATCAACGACTTGTCTACTCTTCCTCACCTCTCAATTCTATTACCTACTGATTCCATGTCTCTACTCTCTTCTCCATTTTAATTCTACTGCTTTATTGGGACCTCATCATTTCTCTTTTGAAATATTTTTACTAGCTCTTTATTTAATCTCTCTGGTTTAGTTTCTCACAATACAAATCCATCATATTATATAAGATAACAAGGAAATAAAAATGCTCCTCTGCTTTTTTATGCCTACTATTTGCCAGGAAAATAAACTCCAAACTTTTGACATCGCATTTGAGACTCCTACCAATCTATTTCTAACCTGTTTGTCCAGTCCTCATTCTGCTCACACTGTTCTGTCTCTAGGACATGGTATAAATTTCCAGAGTTTCATTCTTTGGTTCATGATGTTCCCTCACTGCTATGGTTGTTCTTCACTTGTTAAAAGCCTATACATACTTTGGGCCCACGTGTCATTTTCACTGTAATACCTTCTCTACCTTGCCTTTTGGGTAAAATTAGCCCTTCTTCTTTCAGTACTCTTCTATTGCTATTAAAATTAAATTTGAGTTGTAAGGTTTATCTCCTGCAGGGTGCTGGACTCAAAGGGAAAAAGTCTTAGTCATTTCAGTTAACTTAGGCTTAACCTTATACCTGAAAAATAGAAAATATCCAATAAATATTCAACAAACCTATTCCTCATTTAAGAAATAAGGAGAATAATATTTTAAAACCATCTTCATCTATAAAATGTCATACTAATTTTTAGTCAGTTATCATTAGAATTAAATAAAAATCATTTGGATTTGTTAATAATAATGAAAATATATGCTAAAGATGAATTGTCCATTGTAATCCTCTATGTTTTACACAAATCAGTTAATTTTTCTCTTTCCATCAGTTTGGAAGAAGGAAGAAAAGTTATGTAAAAATCCAGTCAAGTATCTGTAAAATACACAGAAATAAAATATGAGGCTTTTACTAGTAAAATTAGAATATCAAGGTAAGAATCATAAAATCTATTAAATTTTTGTTTATATTAAAGAGTTAAAGACATTATAAAAGCTAACTATAATTTAGTTAAAAATAACCTTAGGGAAAATTGCATATATAGCATACTAAAGGAGTAGTACTAAATCACTACCATGATATATTTTTTAATAACTCTTAAGAAACTACCTGTAATAAATACTATTTTATTTATTATGAAATTATGCTGAACCTTGCTTTCTGACTCTAGAAGAGGCATTAGCAAACCACATCCTGTAGACCAACTGTGGCCCCTCACCTAGTTTTTTGTAAGGAGTTTAACTGGTACAAAGACATACATTCATTTAAGCATTGCCAGTGTCTACAATAGGACAGCTGAGTAGCTGAATAGGTACTATATGCCTCATAAAGCATATTTACTAAACAGTTCTTTAAAGAAAAATTTGGTCAACTCTACTATAGAGAGAAGTTAGAAATATAGCTGAAACTAAGCCAGTTTGCCTATTTATGGATTTCTTATTATTCTACAATTTAAAATCTTTATGCAAAAAAATTCAAAAAATGAAAGGTATAAAGATATTATGATAGAGGGCCGGGGATTTAGCTCAGTGTTTCCGCCGCTTGCCTCTCAAGTGCAAGGACCCGAATTTGATCCCCAGTACCAAAAAAAAAAAAAAAAAAGATATGATAGAAAATGTACAGATTCAAATACAGTAAAGATAAAGGACATACTTTTATACTTTTAAAATAAGCTTGTCTGACTATTCTTAACTAGAAAAATGAGTGGTTATTCTTTATATAATAGAGTATGTTAACTAAAAATGAACTTTTTGGTCAACTATTGTGTCACTAAAAAAGTGGAAACTTAACTCTTCTTGTAAGAATAAAAAAGTAAAATTAAACATTAATTTTAAAATAAGAGGAAGGAAAGCCTGGGGAGAGAAATGGGAAGTGGAACAGAGACTGGAGAGAACAGAAGACAGGCTGAAGAGAGGAGGAATAACCTACTATACCTCATTCTCTAATTGATATGAAGCCAATCTGTGTACCAAAGTTAAGGCCATCTCGAACGCAGGAGAAAAACTTTTCAGGATGGCAGGATGTACAAAGGTTGAGATCTTGGCTCTGGTCCTGAATATTCTGTGAAAGAATTCCTCCTTGTTCTAGAAGAATCCTTAAAGATTTTTCAAAGGATAGCAAGAGTTCATTTTACCAACAGCCAAAGAAATATGAAGAACATAAAGATACTGTTGTAAAAGAGTTCCAAGGAAGATCAACTTCAGATAATGTGAATTATTATTCACTCACACAACATGGACCAGTCAGGAAATGGTAGCTTTTATCATCATTTGCCACCTAAGTTCATACAGAACTGTACAAACTTTCATACTGTCCTGAAGACATGATCAGGGTACAAAATTCTACAATCAAAATTAAGTGCTTAAGGAAAAATTTTCAAGTTACTAGAGTATTTGTGCACAAGATGCGTTTCAGACACAGTGCTTTTCAGTCATTTAATCCTATCTCCTCTCCACCTATGAACCAGATTTTTCTTTTTCACAGAAAATCTACTTCTCCATTTTATGATATGAAATATGACTAATAATTAATGATAATTCTAGCACTCATACTTAAGAATCAATTTCAATCCTCACTACTTCTGTAAATGAGGCAGAATCTGGGTAAAGTTTTGCTGACTAGAATAGAAATACAATTCAAATAAGATGTCAATTTTCCTTTCTGCAAGTGACAAATAATTTTCAGCAGATATTAAAATCAAAATTTCATAGATTCAGAATGCTGGAGACCATACAAAACTTGAAAGTGGATATTTGTACTACCTAAAATATTTGCTAACCAATATGCCCCTGTAGGGAATAAAAATGTTTTGAAAATATCAGCTTTTTGATAGTTTATTACATTTAAGATAATTTATCTGAAGAATGATTGTGAAGTAAAGTATATGCCACCTTTTCTATAGTTTAAGTAGGTTTCTTTAAAAGCCAAATGTTTGTTCCTTCACTTTTATATCATTAAGAGATAACAGACAAGAAATTTTCTGTAATTCAAATTTAAATAATAGATTTTGTATTTAAAATGACTTTTTGTGTATGTTAGTTACTTAAATATCTGCTACCTGAATTGTTAGAGAACAAATTGTTCTCTAAAATAATTTCCATTTCAGAATTAATAAGCAATAATCAAACTTGCAATTCCATAACGAAGTCAAACATACCTGGTGGCTTTACGGATGTCAATATAGGGATTTGGTGAGTCAAACAGTCTTACGCATGCAGGATGAAGATTATGAAATGAATGTGCTGATTCTCTGGGAAGAGTAAAACAGCAAGGTCCTACTGAAGGTCCCAGTACAACAATAATGTCTTCCAAACTACAGCCATATTCTGATATCATAGCCTTCACTGTAGCCATAGCAACACCTAACAAAGTACCTTTCCAGCCTAGTACACAGAAAGAAAAATAGATTAAGTTAAAACGTAAAATTTCAAGTGAAATCTATCTCTAAGTTAAAAATGAACAGATTCAGTTTGTGTATTTCTCAAAATCCAGATGTAATAAATTAATCAGGAAATTAATCACATTGTAATACTGATTTTAAAATAAGATTGTACTATACAGAGTCTCTGACATAGATATTTAATGGGAGTTTCCCTGAACTTCTTTTTTAAAATGTTCAATTACCTTTCATTTCCAATGGGAATACACCTTTTAAAATTTCCTCTTTTTTAATTTTTATTGTGCAAAAACAAAGCCATAAAAGATACCATTTTAACAGCTTTAAAGCATTTAGTTACTTACACCATTGTATAATCAATTTCCAGGACTTTATCTTGCAAATCTGAAACTATACCCATTAAACAATAACTCAATTCTCTCTTCTCGTAGCCCCTGGTCACCACAATTTTTCTTCTTGTTTCCAATAATTTGATTATTTTAGACATTTCATATAAATGGAATCATATATTATTTATCTTCTTGTGAAAGGCTTATTTCATTTGGCATAATGTCCTCAAGGTTAATCTATGTTGTAGTATGTGTCAGAATTTCCTACCTTTCTAAGGCTGAATAATAATTTCACTGTATATATACCATACAATTTACATTTTGTCAATCTATGTATTTGTCATTGGATATTTAGGTTGCTTCTACCTGTTGAATATTGTAAATAATGCTGGTATAAGCATGGGTGCACAAACATCTCTTCTTGATTCTATTTTCATGTACTTTCAGTTTTTTTGGATATATATCCAAAAGAATTGCTGCATTTTATGGTAATTATTTTTAAATTTTTGAGGAATCACCATAATGTTATCATCAGAATTTTTATTGTATTTTATGTCTTCAAAATTTTTAAAAAGAAAAATGACTACTTATACCACACTGTTTTATATAGTGGCTATACCATTTTATATTTTCAACAATAGTGCGACAGGGTTCAAATTTCTCAAAACTTATTACTTATTTTCTGGATTTTTTTCTGTTTTGTCTTGTCTTAATTTTAGCCATCCTAATGAATGTGAGATGAGATTGTGTCTTGATTTGCATTTCTCTAATTACAAATGATATGAATAACTTTTCATATACTTGTTGGCCATTTACATATTATCTTTGAAAAAGTATATATTCCTTTGCCCATTTTTTAATCCAGTTTTCCTTTCTGTTGAGTTGCAGGAGTTTCTTATTCTGGATATTAACCCTTTATCAAATATAGGCTCTGCAAATATTTTCTTCTGTAGGCTGCCTTTCCACTCTATAAATTACCTCCTTTCATGTACAATCATTTTAATAGTGATGATGTCCAATTTATCTATTTTTACATTTGTTGCTTATGCTTTGACTAAGAAGCCACTGTCTAATCCAAAGCCATAAAAATTTACACTAGTAATTTTCCCTAAGAGTTTTATAGTTTCAGCTCTTACATTTAAATCCTTCATCTATTTTTACCTAATTTTTAAATATGATGTAAGGTAAGGGTACAACATAATTCTTTTGTATGTGGATATCCAATTTTCCAAGCACTATTTGAAGAGACTGTCCTTTTCTTAGAGGATATTTTGGATGTTTGTTAAAAGTCATTTGACAACATTCAAGGGTTTCTTTTTAGACTCTATTCTATTCCACTGATTCATATGTGAGTCTTTATACCAGTACCATACTATTTTGATATAATTCTGCAATAAGTTTTAGAATCAGGAAGTGTGAGACATCTGACTTTGTTCTACTTTCTCAAGACTGTTATGAGTATTCAGAACCTCTTATGACTCCTTGCTTAGAAATACTGGCACTTAGCCAAAACCCAGATTGGTTAGGACTCTACCTACGTACCACTTCCTTTGGGAATTCAACTCTGATTCATATAACGTGACTTAGATAATCTTTTTTGTCCATTCCTATAATAAGAGTATGCCCCCACCTCTATCATTATACTTATCACAAAGTAATTCAATTAACTGTCATGCCCACCAGAAAAAATTATAACTTTTCCTGTATATAAGATGGGTATAAGCCTTAATGCTTACTTATACTTACCAGAGTGAGCAACCCCACATGCTTTTTTGACAGGATCTGCAAAAACTATAGGTATACAATCAGCACCAAGAGCTGCTATTGTGACTCCTCTCTGATTTGTGGTTATTCCATCATAAAATTCAGGCTCCTTTTTTCCCATAATCCAGACTTCACTGGCATGACCAGTCTAATACCAAAGATACGTGAAAATATGCTTTGAAAGTGAGATTTCTCATAACTTTACTGAAAGTACTCATTTCAGTACAAAATTATATAAGATTGCTAGAATCTAATAAATACACCACTTTTAGATATAGTAAAATACCAAATGCAATATCTCTTACACATTTCACTCAAAGAAAAACAGGCTTAAAGTTTCAATATAATCCATCCTGAATAATGGAGGAGGTCTCACACTAAAGATGGATAAATCTCCACTTGTACCATTTTCTACAAAATGTAAATTCACTTATGAAAAATTAAATGATCAACTCAATAATAATTTTACTTCTCCAGATTCAAGTACAAGGTATAATCAGAAACTATAGTAAATGTTTAAATTTTAAGAACATAGTAAAAATACACATTGCTTTTAATCTCCGTCAAAATACCCCTCTCACTGCAAACCTTCCATTGTTCTTGCCACTTTCAAAAGTAGTTCTGAAAAATCTTTTTTCATGAGTGTTAGTTGTGATGTCACAGGTCCCTCATTGTCCTGAATTGACTAAAAACATTTACCTTTAATGGTCTTTCTGAATTTGGGGAAAAGCCAGAAGTCACACAGTGCCAGGTCCAGTGAATAAGGTGAATGAGGGCACATCATAATGTTTTTACAAATCTGCCTTTCCATTGGCTGGGACTTGGCAGCGTCATTCACCAAAATTTTTTATCACACCTCATAAACACTCAGGAAAAAGCATGGTGAGTATTCTGAGAGGGATTAATAACAATGTGTCCTTTACTGTAGTAAATTTTTTTTAATTTAAACATTTAATGTATATTTCAATCATATCCCATAAAGCTAGAATTCTGTAAGGAAGAAAACATTATCCCATCCTCTAGGTCTACCTAGTGTTAATTTAGAAAATTATGGCCTTTCTCATCCACAATTCAGGAACCTAGTGATAATATACTCTGAAAATTATCCATACTTTTAGAATTAAGGAGTTCCAGGTTTAATATGTATCATAGAAGTGATCTTTAGGCTATGATGTACAAATCTAAAAAAAAAACTACAGCATTATCCTAAAATGTCTAATGAAACACCAGAAGAAAGAGTACCAGCTGAGTCAAAAATATACTTTAGATCTTCCAAAATATGAAACACAATTTTACCTTTACTCGGTAAAACTTCTCAGCATTAAATCCTGCAGTATTCGCCAACCTACGGAGATTTTCTTTAACAACTGCTTTAGAATCTCTCCGTTTGGTACTACTGAAGAGATTGAAGGAGCTAAGAGTTGGTATATAAGATATCCCACCTGTTCTTGTAGTAAATCCATGTATGAAAATGTCTGTTGAGGAGAGGTGGTAAAGATTAAAATGTTCTACAAAAGACTATAAAGCATTACAAAAGCCAGTCTCTCCAAATAGATCTTCTCTGATCATTTCAACCTGTGCTTATTTATTCAGCTTCTAATTTTGACAGCATTTTATTCCATACGTTATTACATACCGCTGTTCATATATTTTACTTTCCTTATGGGATTATTGCTGTTCAAAAGGTATATTCTATCTCTGTCTTTGTTATACCCAGTGGAATATACCCACAATAAATACAGTTTAACCAAGAAAGAAGACTTTTAAATAATTCCACTCTTCTGTGAAAGTGTCAATGAGTTAAGGTTTCAGAATTTTAAACAGAAGATTCTCAGGGTAAGAAACCCCACTTTCAAGGAAAGTAGGGGGATTTTTCTGAAAGCTGAATTTGCATGAAGCAAATTGTTTATTTACGGTGGCCTTGTAAAAAAAAAAAAAAAATTACGGCCATAGAAAATTTTGGCCAGGATTTTAGCTCAGTGGTTCCACCACCTGCCTCACAAGTATAAGGTCCCGAGTTTGATCCCCAGTACCAAAAAAAAAAAAAATTACTCAGGGTGGCTTTGAAAGAGTCGTCATCCCTTGACACCCCTGACTCACAAAGGCATCCACAACAACTACATGGTACAAATGATGCTACAAAAAAATAAGACAAGTTTACAGAAGAAAAAATGGAAAAAACGTGATCAACCTCTGAAGAAAGGCTGGATTTTCATGTACACGGTAAAAACAACAGATAGTGTTGAATATACCTGGGATCAAAGGAGATGTAATAATAGTTAATTTTCCATTCAGTGCTGGTAGACTTCTCAAATATGTTTCTATTTCATCCTGTATTTTTTCTAGTTCAGGAGCTGTGATCACGTTTATTTCAGTGGACTGCTTCAAAAGGCCATCCTTCACCTGTAAATCTTCAAACTCAAAATTATAAACCTCAGTGAAGAGTTGGTCAATAAAAGCCTTCACTAGTGTTTTCCTGTGTACTGGTACAATCACCTTAATGTTGCTCAAATTTTTTTCATCAACTTTTTGCTTAATAGTATACAAAGAAGCAGCCATGCTTGGATTACTAATGATCTCAAATTCACTCAAGAATGCTGACAATTCATTGCTTGTTTCCAATTTACAATTATCACGTTCACTATCCCATTCACAGCTGATGTTATTGCAACATAATATGCAAAGGAACTTGGCCTTGCCAGCATGGTGGTATCGGACAGCATTCAGTGCCTTCAGTAATGTCTGATGGCAGTTTTCCTGAGAGTTCAATTCCAAACCAAACAGATCAACCAAAACTGCTTCTGCCATTCTCCAGCACTGTACAAAGTTCTTCGAAGAAAACTTCTAAGCCAGATAAATAATCTGCAAACAAAAATAACCATAAGAAAGAATTCAAAATCATCAATCCTATAACAGAAATTTGTGGTGGATGAAAAAAAAGAAATAATTGCATTGATTTAAAAAGTAACCAAAACAGTAAGTCCAGAATCCTTTTAGAAAAGCTAGTCTGTCATCAGAGACACATGACAATTAAAACCATCCTTTATTTTGTGAAAGTGTATGTATATCTTGTTTTGTTTTCTTTATATAAAAAATTTTAAGTAGGAAATTACTTGCCTTCGAAAAAGTTCATTTTTTAATTATATCCTGTCAATCCATATGACATATTAGTCTCAGCATGATTATCGTATTAGGTCACATCCATTCATATGAAATAGAAAGGCTTCAAGCTCACCAGGTTAAGCTGAGCTGAACCTGAATGTCACATTTTTATGGAGAGAAAAAGCTGAGATCGGTAATAGATTTCCTCTCAGAATTTCCACAGCACTCCACACTTGGCCACGATGACAAAAGCGACTTCAACTTTGGATCAGAGGGGTTTCATTCCTACCTACTTTTTCATTCAGTCATGCAGATTTTCTCACCTTCCGCCCCAGCCTTCTGACTCCAGGCTGTGTCCAGCCACCGCTCCCCACGCACCGGACCCGCTGAAGTTTATTCATTTTGCCGGTTGATAGGGACCGGGTGACCACCCGCCCTCCCCTCACACTGTCAATTTCCACACGAGCCCAGCCCGTGCTGGGCTCCTGGCGCAGGGTGTGGGTCTGCACCTGCGCGCATCTGCACCGCCCACTCACCGCCCGGACGACTCGGACCTTCGGAGAGCCGAGAGCCAGCAGCACAGGCAGAGTTCCCTTCTCGCGCTTCACACAGGGCTGCCCACCAGGTCTGCAGCAAGTTCTGTGAGGCTTTGTGACGTCCCACCCACCCCCGCCTCGAGCTTCAGCGAAACTGGGAAGCAGCAAGCGTGTCACCTGGGGGCGTGTCACCTTCTCGCAGCCGCCAGAGTCCCTCTCCGCGCGGTTGGCGTCGGCCGGGAGTCGCCCGGGAGTCGCCCGGGCGCCGGGGGCAGGATGGGGCGCCGGGGGCGGGGCAAGGCCGTGGGGCGGCGCAGGGGATTCCCGCGATGAGCACAGCGCCGCGCGCTCGCAGCCGCCTCAGCAGTTCCGGGTCGGGCGCAGCGGCAGCCGCCCCGCGGAGGAAGAGGAACAGCAGCAGGAGCTGCGGTGGGCTCTCTGGCCGGAGCCAGGCGGGTCCGCGGGGAGGAAGCGGGCAGTCCCGGAAAGGGAGCGGTGGGAATGCGGGCCCGAGTAGAGGGGAGAGGAGGTGGGAACTAGAGGTGAGGCCGAGAGGCGGGAATGGCGGCGGGTCTGTGAGAGGTGCTGCGGAGAGAACGGAAGGAAGTCTGCCCGCCCACACTGTGGCCCCGGGAAGATTCGCTGACCCAGCAGTGTGGCAGGACTTTGGCTCTCGTCAGCCTGGGTCTTGATAGCCTTGTCACGTTACCACGTGACAATTGGTCCTTTCCAGGGTTCCAGTAATGGATCTCTGTGGGGAGAGTGTTTAGTGTCTTCTCTGCTGATTCTGCTTCTCACTAAGAGAACCAGTGATCTCCACAACTCCTTCACTTGTACTGACAACATAGATGCTTAAAAAAAGAATACTGGAAATTGGACCCAGGACCTTTGCAGAGCTATATTTCCAGTCCTTTTACTTGAAAAAAAGAAAAAAAAATTTTTAATAGCATTTTGCTACGTTGTCCAAGCTGGGCTCAAACTTAAGATCCTCCTGCTTGTGCCTGCTGGAGTGCTAGGATTACAGGTGCCCCACCTTTTCCTATCTGTATGCCTTTAAAAAAAATAATGTTCAGTTAATAGGACAGTGGAAGGCGCTAATTCTTAGAATTGTGTTAAAAGTGTAGTTATGCACCCTTGTCCAAGAGTACAATTTCATTTATTTAAAAGTGTTAAGCAGCTGCTATGTGAAATACATGTGTTATGGTAGAGGGGGAAGTATCCAGCCTTCCAAAAAATAAGAAAAAGGATGCTTCCAGCTGAGTTGGCTATGATGGCTATGAGTTGGCTTTTATCCTTAGTGTTGTTCATGTAAGTGCTGAAGAATCTTTCCTGAAAAAGAATCTCGATTATCTGGAAGTTTAAAAGGTGGGCCCCTGCTTCTTCTTGAGTATAGACCAGAAGCATCAGCCTAGACTAGGAATCTAATCTCCAGTATCGCTGACATCTGTTTTTCATCAAATTTTTATTTCCTTGGACATTTATTAAGAACCCTGAGTAGTGGATGTACACCTGATGGACAGATTTACTGTCTGCCCTGAGCTTGCTTTATGTCAACTGTTACCTTAAGCAAAATATAGGTCTTCTAGTTACAAAGAAGGTTTAAAACATTTGTCCTTGTTTTTGTAGACAATAAGGAAAGTCAGATTCTTTCATGCACCAGTAATGGGGTAGAGGGTATTTCAAAGTAGTGAAGTTGTAAGGGAAGTTTGTTACATTGTATTTGCATACCATTTCCTTTCACCCTGTGGTGCTAGCTTCATCGCCTAACATCCTCTCACCCCATTCTTACTCTTCTCTAGAGGTTTTCATTCCTGTCTGCACATCAGAACTACAGGTGGAACTGTTAAAAAAAAAATGTTGAGACTCTCAGTCCAGATGTACATTGACTCAGAATTTCTGGAAGTCAAGCAAGGACATATTTTGTTTTGCTTTTTTGTTCTAACTTTTACAGATAATTCAGAAGCATAATTAAATTTTTAAAAATAACTTCCCTAGGGCTGAGGATTTAGCTCAGTGGTTTTGCCGCCTGCCTTGCAAGCACAAGGACCTAAGTTCGATCCCCGTTACCAAAACAATAATAATAATAATATAATAATAACTTCCCTATTCCCAATCTTGTCAAATAGCTTTTTTGGTAGGCAATGTGATTTCATCTTTTATACCTGATATTTGTTGTACTTAGAACAAACACCCTTCTTTTTGTATACCTATTTAATTGCTACTGGTTGTTCAAGACTCTTTAAGCTCAAGCATAACCTTAAATCCCCATACTTTTACCAAACAGAATAGCTTCTTTAACATTTTGTTCATATAAAAGGAGCCCTCATAGATGCAGTCTGGACCATAATGAATAAGTTGAAAAAGTTGGTTAAACATTGAATTGTATACTTTGTAAGTGTAAACTTTATGGTAAGTTAATTATATCTAAGTAAAGCTTTTTAAAAGAAACCAGAGAATCATGAAAAAATGTAGCATAATTTCCACTTTTTATATTAACCTAAAATAACCATATGCACATTTGCCAATCTATGAGAAGGTCCAGGCCTTTTCTTGACATATGGTCTTTTAATTGAAGTTCTGCATTTTTTTTCTCTTGTATAAACCATAAAGTTAAACTATCGGTTAAGATTTTCTTCCTTTGTGAGGAAAATAACTTAAAGGCACATGTGAAGCTATCTGAGTGCACATATGCTCTTTACAATCTTTTATAGTTATCTCACACATCTTTATTAGGTCCTTCCAAAATATTAAACAGATTTTAAAGATAACTAACTTTATTTTCATGTCTTTTTGTTGGTTTATATGTAATTATAAAAGTACAATATCAAGTACAACTGGCATAAACAAGTTTAGAAACAACTCATGAAAGATGATACAGCAGAAATAGGCAGACTCACTAAAGAGTAGTTTCCTGATCAAGCATTAATCATGATATGGGAGTTTGTCATTTATAATTTACAATGGAAATAGGGTTACTTGGTTAGAGATCAAGTGTATCTCAATTTTATTTCACTATATTATGTATCTTCCTCATAGAAACTTAGAGCACTTATTTTGAGGACAGTGATGGAACTTTGCTGTTAAGAACCACTGGGGAAATCCCCTGACATTCTTACGCCATCATGTAAATCTTAGAACAAGTGGAATTTTAAAAAAACTTGAACAGTTCATTATAGTCTATTTACACTAAGGTTTATGGATTATTACTGAAAAGGCCATGTAACAGATGCAAATTTCCTTGTTACAAGCTTGTGTTAGTTTCCTGGGGCTGCCATAACAACTACAAACTGGATGGTTTAGCTGTGTCCAATCTGTGACCAGCTTCCCCCACCCTTTCTTAATGTTTTGATAAAAATATAAAAGGAAGTTTTGTTACATAGATTAACTATGTTATATGTTTTCTATGTAGCCCAAGACAATTCCTCTTCACTTAAAAAAGGCAAAATATAAGGCATGCCATATTTTGGATGTGGCTAGCAAATCAACAAAGCTTAATCTCACAGTTATGGAGACTAGATTGTGAAATTGATATGTTAATGGGACTTTGCACCCTTGAAGTTTTCCTTGCCTCTACCATCTTCTGGTGGTTCCAGGCCTGTCTTAAATAGGGGCTGCATAATGGGATTTCATCTTTCTATCTTCACATGGTCTTTACTATGTACGTAAGTCTCAAATCTCTACATTTCTCTTGTAAGATACCTGTATGAAAATTACTGAAGGCTAACCAAATGAGAACAAGATAAGACTATGTAATTCAGAGATTGCAAAGGAGTCTGCCACTATTGTGGGAAATTGGAACAGCTCAGTGTTACAGCTCAAGTGCTACCCCTCCAGTAATTTGAAGACTTGAGAATCCAAAAGTTACTCAAAGAGGTGGAGAAAAACCTTTATTGCCAGCTGGCTCAGAGGAGCTTTCCTGCTCTGAATCCTGAGTGCTGATCACTGAGCAGAAATGGGAGCATCCTTATATAGGGATCTAGGGGTAGGCAAACATGCTCACTGGTATGGAGTTATGGAACATTCTTGAAAGGTCACACTGTTCAAATAGTCACAACATTTTAATACATTGGGTAGGAGCAGCACAAACTTACATTTTTGGAACAAAACATTTAAGGAAAAGGGGGGATGGGTTGCCCTATGTATTATTGCCCCAACATTATTGCATTTTGACAGAGTAAAGAGCAGGGAGAGGAGGGAGTACAACCTGATTAAAGATGCTGATGTGGGAAGATGCAAGGCTAACTAGAAGTGAGGCATTCTATATGACTAGTTGGGGTTGCATATTTGGCTTTCCCTGGTTAGTCCCAAATTGCTAGTAGAGATAAGAATTCAGGAAAATGTCAAGAACTGGCTGTTTTGAGTCAATTTTTATAATTTGGCTTCCTGGATTGTTACAATAGTGGTCTGACTTCCTGTAAGTCTGATTTATAGGTAACAAAATGGCTTCCTGGGCTGGTTACTGTAGAAAATAGTTTTGTTTCCCAGGTTGGTGGTTGTAGGTTGTGGATCAAATCATATACATTTTTATATATAATTTGGCTATTTTTTGCATAGTCACTCTCACCTGTCATTGATTTAGGGCCCAACCAAAGTCTAGGATCTCAAGATTTGTTAATTATGTCAGCAATGATCCCTTCCCAAGTACAGTCATATTCACTGGTCCTGGAGGTTAAGACATAAACATCTTTTTTGGACATCATTCAACCCACTACAAAGCTCTTTTTGGTTTAGAAATACTGCTTGTTTAGAGAGAAAAAATGAGACCTTGTCCCTCAGTGTCCTGAATGAGGCAAGGAAGTATATTATAACTGGATTTCACCAAAGTTGTATAATTTGTGCCCCAGAGTTAGGGACCTTTGAGACAGTTTCCTGGGCATCATTTAATACTTGAATTTGAGCTGCATACCAACCCTTTATGTCTGTTCTCCAAAATGAAATTTTCAGTGGTCTAATTCTATGAAAACATGTCTGTGTCTTCAGAGAAATTCCCCCTTAGAAAGCTGGAAACTTTGAATATTGCTTATGTTATTTTGCATAGTAAGTTAAAGAACAGTACAAATCCTCTGATCTCTTTCTGTGTACAGTATCCTAAAATTTTAATCTTATTGCCTGGTCAAAAGAAGGAGTAATTCCTAGTTTCAAAAGATTCTAAGACACTAGTATATAATAAATATATGATAAATTTTTAATTATTTCATTTATTAACTCCTTTTGGATGACTAATGATGTTGTAACTTCTCTTAAAATGTCGTTGAAAGACATTCAGTCTTTAAAATCTGCCTGCATTGATTTATACAATTCTAATGGTCAGTAGATGGCAATAGATTTGTTTCATTTTTCCCCATTCTACTATAGAGATAAAAACTAAAACTTTTCCAGTTTTAGAGCAGCTATTCTTCATGAATAGTTGGTTTAAATAAATGTCATGCAAGAGTTCTTCGATATGTTTTTCTAGGAGTAGAGATTAAGAAATGCTGGTTACTTTTTTATTGTATAAATTTAATTTTCTTTTTTTAGGTTATTTCATCAAATATTTTCGGGAATACAAAAATTAGTAAGACACTATTTACCTTTCTGGAGCTTATAGTCTAGGGGAAAAGGTAGTATATATAAAATGATGAAAATTATATGAAACAGTTTATTGAATACTCATTGTGTGACAGGGATATGCTGAATGCTTTACATGTATTATTTCATTTATATTACTCATAATAATGCTACTATTGTTCTGCTTAACAGATAAGGAATCTGAGCCCAAGTTGGAAACTATTTACCTAATAAGGTAACAAGTGGCACAATCTGTATTCAAAACTAGCTCTGTATTATTATAGTACCTATACAGTTATCTGTTATAGTATAATAAACAATTGTACTAAAAAGAGATCATGTCTACCCAGAAAGGACTTCTTAAAAAAGATTGGCTATGATGTTGGACCTGATCAGAGAATACTGTTTTAGGAGCATTATTCTGTCAGAACAGGGTGAAATGGAGATAGACTAGTTAGATACTTACTATGTGCCAGGTTCTTCTAGGTCTCTTCCTAGAAGAGGATGAAAAATAAGGTCATGTTTTAGAGAAAGTTGTCAGGGAAGATTTCTCTGCTAAGATGGTATTTGAGAGTGATAAGGGATGATTGGATTCTAATGGAATTTAGAACCAAGGCATTTTATCAAAAGAATTGTATATAATGTAAAAGAGAAGAATCAAGGTTCTAACTTGTCTGTTGGGTAGGATAATTGGGACAGCCACCTTGGGTAGCATATTTATGAAATGTCTTTAAAGATTTCCAAAAAGGCTTTTGAAACACTAACAATGAGCTCTCCTTTGTGATAATCTTGGGCAAGTCTGGTTTCATTTTCCTGGGCTCTGCACCTTTCTAGAGACCTCCTTACTAGTGAATTAGAGTTTGAGGCCTGAACAAGAAGAATGAACTTGTAATCTACTGAGATGGAAAAACTGAAGGAGCAGGTTTAGTGTTGGTGATAGAGTGGAAAGAGGAACCAAGAGTTCGGTTTGGAACATATTAAGTTAAAATTAAGCTCAGTGGTTCCGCCGCCTGCCTCGCAAGTGCAAGGTCCCCCATTCGATCCCCGGTAGCAAAAAAATAAAATAAAATAAAATGCTTGTTAGAAATCCAAATGGAGGTATCATGTAGGCAATTTGGTCTTAGTGTGTAGTTCAAGAAGGATTTCAGACTAAAAAGATAAATTTAGGAGTTGTAAGCCTATAAGTGGATTTTTTTCTTTCAAATTTTTATTTTTATTAGTGGATGTTTGCAGAGCCTAATGGTTACATTCATCATTAGGAGTTAGTACATGTAGAAATCACATCTTAATTCTTTTTACGCCCCCTACCTTTCTCTCCCCTCCCTCCCTCCCTCCTCCTCTTATCTCTGGTTCCCCTTCCCTATAAGTGGATTTTAAAGCTATATAACTGGATGGTATAACTTGTAGAATAAGTATGAAAAACAAGAAAATGAGTACCAAGCACTCGGACATTCTGAAAGAAGTGAGAAAGTGAGAAAGATGAGGAAGAACCAGCAAAGAAACCAGATAATAATGTTTTAGAGAAGGCAGTCATAATCAAATGTGACATATGATGGCATTAGGTCAAGTAAAATGAAGACTGAACTTGTCCATTGAATGTGGGGGCATGGAGAAGTCATAGAGAAGAGCTTTAAAGGCAGAGTGGTGAGTGCTTGATTCTAGTGTGTTCAAAAAGAATGACAGTAAAGGAGGTAGACAGCAAATATCTTATCCATCTTATTTATAAAGGAGAGCAAAAAAACGGGTCACCAGCTGAAGTAGTATCAAAGCAAGACTGGTGTTAGTTGTGGTAATTGATTTATGATAAGTCATTCAGGATAATACATTGTCTTAGTTACTTTCTCATTGCTGGGACAAAATACCCAACACCCAAAGTTAAAGGAGTAGAGGTTTATTTTATTTAGCTCACGGTTTGTAGAGGTTTTTGTCCATAGTAAGCTGGTTCCAAGGCAGGGTGGCATGGCAGAGGGGCATTGCAGAGGAGAAAAAGTCCGTGGTATGGCAAGCAGAAGGAAGCAAACCACAACAGCAAACCTATCTTCCTTTTTTTCACCTTATAGTTCAACCAGGGTATAAGCCTATTTGATTGGTCCCACCCACATCTAGAGTAGGGTTTCCATTGTCTACACCCAGATCTATACTAAACCAATTTAGTTGTCACACACCATAATTCCAGCATCACACATCCATAATTCAGCCACCTCCCAAAAGCCCCACATATGAGCACATGAGGCTGTGGGGGGACATCTAGGTACAAGCCATAACATATGTTTCACCAAATAAAGAGGGGAATTATGTTGAGTGCACATTCAAAGAAGGAATGTCTATGAGCAGGTGAGAAAGGAGTACAGGTAAGACCAAGGATACTTTATTCATCTCAAGGAAAGTATAGGCTAGATACAGGTGCAGAAAAACTAGGAGATGGGATAGGTTAGCAATCTGGTATTTTCTACTCTGTCAAATAAAGGTAGATTATTGTCTCAAATAGGAAGAGGAGAGCTGTAGGGGAGATTTGAAGATAGAGGACTGAAATGATCTGTGAAACTTGATGAATCCCTAAAGGCCTATAATCAAGGGCCCACCTGCCATACATTATTTTGAATTTACATTGAGATCACAGCACAGTGGTGTCTTTAAAAAGCATACTCAGTTACATGCCTGTAAATGAAGCAACGAGTTACATTTTTACCAGAGAAGTAGGTCAGGGAAAGATCTTTAAGGGAAACAAGGGTGAATCCAAAGGAATGGAAGCCAGGAAGGAGTTAAGAATACATGCGGGACTTGATGTAAACAGAGAATAGTCAATCTATTGAAAGTCTTGGTGTGATTAAACAGCTCTAATAAAATACTGGATGAAACAAGTTAGAAAATTAAGTTAATTAAAGTTTGCCTTCGAGAGGCTAGATATTAGATAAACTGGTAGCTTTTCATCGCTATGGCAAGTACCTGAGAAAATCAACTTAAAGGAGGAAAGATTTATTTTGGCTCTGTTTCAGAAGTTTCAGCCCATGGTCCACTGCCTCTATTGCTGTGGACCTGTGGTAAGTCAGAATGTTGTGCAGGTAGTAGTCTGTGACAGAGCAAAGCTTTTCACCTCATGGTAGCCAGAATGGAGAAAGACACAGAGATAGACACAGAGACAGTCTGAGAGAAAGGGTCTGGGGACAAGGCACCCCCCACGGATCTACTTCCTCAACTAGACTACCTCCTAATGTTTCTCCCACCTTTCAGTGACCTGAAATTATGAATTCATCAATAGATTCATCTACTGATGAGATGGGAACCCTTATGATCCCAAAAGCCTCACCTATGAACATTACTGCATATAAGACTTTGGGGAACATTTTGTATCAAAACTATAACCTGTGCCATCTGTGTGGATGTTGAAATTCCAAAAAAAAAATAATTAGAAGAGTAGTTAGAAACAGTATGTCAGATGGTATAATCTAGGGGTGAGGAGAGACAATCTACATGTCGGTAATAGGGATAGGGAAAGCTTAGTCTGATGGAATGAACTTCAAAGAAAATAAAAAGTTGTTCTAAAGAGAAGAAAAAAGTCATAGTTTGGCAGTAGTAACCAGTAACAAGAAAAATATCTCACCTTCAGACTTAGTAACCAGAGCATGAAAAGCAAAAAGGTGAAGGGAAATTTCACTTGAAGAGATTGAAGATAGGATTTTGCTGAAGATGGATCTTGAGTTTTAGAAACCACAACAGAAGAATATAAAAGAGTTGAAGAGTCAGTAACAGCATCTAATTAAGGGGCTTCCCAAGCTGAAAAAGAGTACGTCTTCATAATGAGGAGTAACTTGGGAGTCTTAGGTTTCTGAAGACAGATTAACAGAGATATAGTAGATAATGGGAGTAGTTTCCACAGTATCTTAAACAGATTGTAGAAATTACATTAATTTGGAGGAAAGAAAAATGGGACTCATCAGGAAGGTAACATCTCTCAGGAACTTATTGGGAGCAGGAAGAACTTGCTGGGTTCCTTTTTCAGACATGCAAACTGTAGTGAAAGTCTGTAGGAGTTGCATATTTTCATTGTACTTTACTGAACTAGTTTCCCAAAGAAGAAAAGCAGAAAGTAATAATGGGACTAGAAAGGAGGAAGTTGAAGGCTGGAGATGTAGTTCAATAGTAGAGTGTGTGCTTAGCAAGCACAAGGTCCTGGATTCAATCCACAGCACCAAAAGGTAAAAAAAACCATTGATTAAAGTGACACTTTTAACAATAAAAGAATACAAAATAGTTTGATTCTGGGGTGATATATAAAAACATGATTCTTCCCTTTAAAATTATACTTGAGAAGTCTGGAATTAAAAGCATGAACTCTTGAGCCAAAATACTTGAATTCAAATAACATCTCAATAGATATCTAAGTAAATTCTTTGTGCCTTGTATTTTTATGTAAAATGAAAATTATAATACCTTTCTCACAGAGTCAAATGAGTTAATATTGGACTACATGGCATAGAACAAATACTATATTTTTGTTGTTTTTTTAAATGTAAAGTGTCTAGCATTTAGAACAATGTCTAGCACAAAGTAAGCATGATAAAAGCACTTACTATATAATCAGTTGAGTGAACTTGTTATCAGATTTTTGATTGGGGTGTCTGTGATGATCTGCATTGTGTCTGTGTTGTGTTGTGGTTTCTCAGTTCTTGGGTCTTCCTTGAGATTTTTGCAAGGAAGCCCACAGAAGAACCAGAGTCCAAAAGTATCAGTTTTAATAAGCTCTTTATTGTGAAACAAACATAGTCTTAGGTGTATACAAAGGTTAGCTAACTGCCTACTGTATCCAACTAACTGAAAAAGACATGCATTTTCAAGATAGATAGCTAGAATTTCATGTATCCATAGAACTCAAAGTACTAGAGAGAAAATTAGAATTGTATTCATTAGCAGTATCCTGGGGCAGTTCTATATGTTGCACAGAAAGGACATAAGAGTGATGGCATGAACATAGTGAGTAAGCTGAGTATCCAGGTAAACTTCAGGAAAAAGATAAATTTGAAGTGTGACATGAAGTAAGTGGCACGAGACAGGAAAGAATCATAAATTCTCATTTTAAGACAATCTGCTTATTAAGCTCAGGATCTCTTTGTCTTAGATATATCTAGATACATTTGAATTTCTTCACCTAGGAAGAAACTTTGTTTATATATCATGTTTCAGTTTTAAATTTTCATGTCTAAAATTTTTCTTTTTTACATATCATGTTTCAGTCCTTTAAATTTTGTTCTTGGAAGACATAATTTGTACATGAGTACTTTATGTTTAGCTGATCTTTAAGAAAGATATTTAATGATTTTGTAGACTTTTCTCTGGAGGCTTCCTTATATTTGCCTTACTGTTACAATAATATTTCACTTTTTGTCTTGACTTGCAGAGTTTGTGATCACTTTAGTAAAATTTGGAAAGATTCATAGGGTCTATAAAAGTCAACTAACATTTTGTTAGAAGATTAGTCATTGCGTAGAAAAATCCCATGTACAGACATTAAGTGGGAGTTGACAACTTCCAATTTCAAAAGTATTTATCAGCATTGAATTCCTCATTAATCGTGAAAACATGTACTATGTTTTCAGTATAGGCAAATTCAAATACCCTTTTCCTAAGTCTGGTAAAGACTTAAATGCCAAGTCAGCACTGTTGTGTCAGAACAACATTTTCTTCATGTTTCAGTGGAGAAAATATCTTTTAATTCTTTGGGGAAGATCCCCAGCAGTGGAATAGTGGGGTCAAATGGGACTTCCAGTCCTAGTTCTTTGAGGTAGCTCCATAC